ACCTCCTGGTCCCTCCCTGCCTCATCTCACACCTCCTGGTCCCTCCCCACCTCATCTCACACCTCCATCCCCCTCCCCGCCTCATCTCACACCTCCTGGTCCCTCCCTGCCTCATCTCACACCTCCATCCCCCTCCCCGCCTCTGACCCTCCAGACTTCCTTCTAGGATGCACAGTGCCTCAGCCTTCCTCAGACCTCTGCTTGCACCTCCAAGGGGAATGTGCACGAGGTCTTCCCATATCCAGAGGCTGGCAGAGTCTGGGAGCTGAATGACAGCTCAGGTTTCAGTAAGAACACTTTCTAATTTGTAGTGTGGAAGTTCGAAACCAGTGGAAACAGCACAACTTCTGGGAAAGGGGCAGGGGCTTTCACTGGTGGGCAGCTGTGGTTTTGTTTCATGTGGGAAGCCTCTGGGCAAAGTGGACAAAGGCAGTAAACTGATGGTGGGAAGAACACCGGGGGAGGTGAGGTGTCAGGTGGAAAGCCAGCCTTAGGGCACCAGCCAGGATTCTGGACACCAGGAGCCCCAGTGCTTGGGTGCCCAGGCCGGTCAGTTCACCACTTGGGTCCCTCCCGCCTGGAGCCGCTCACCTTGTCACTCTGCCCTGGGGCGTGCAGTAAGTGCTCTGCTGTCCCCTATTCTCCAGGGATTACTTTCAACAATGGACCAGGCTGGAAGGACACCCGGAGACTCTCCCTGACGACGCTCCGGGACTACGGCATGGGGAAGCGTGGCAACGAGGAGCGGATCCAGAGGGAGATCCCCTTCCTGCTGGAGGCGCTCAGGGGCACCCAGGGTGCGTGTGGCCACCGGGTCTTTGCACGCATGGTCTGGGGGGCAGCCTTGGTGGGCCTGCGAGACCCCGGACTGAACCGAAGCAGCTGGAGCTGGGAGGGTTGCCTTAATCCACAGACACCGTCTGCAGCTCTGGTCCTCTCCAGTCCGGTGTGTTTATCTGGAATAACTGGAAAGTAAAGGGACCTCCCCCCACAATAGGCTCCCACAAGCCTTGTAGAATTACGGGGATGCTTAGGACAACAGATCACAGACTCTGGAAAGTGTGAGTGGGTGGGAACCGGCCTGACCGCTCCCCTGTGTTGCAGGCCAGCCCTTCGACCCCACCTTTCTGCTGGGCTTTGCCCCCTGCAATGTCATCGCTGACATCCTCTTCCGTAAGCGCTTCGACTACACGGACGAGACGGGCCTGAGGGTACAGAGGCTCTTCGAGGAGAACTTCAGGCTGCTCAGCACGGGCTGGCTCCAAGTGAGGCCCCTTAGTCTGCACTTGCCCATGTCTGCTCCACTGAGGTTAGGAAAAGGACGAGGACGGGACCTGGGGGACAGGCAGACAGGACCACAAAACCAGGGAACACCCAGGGCTGGTGCAACTCACCATCTGAGAGCCTGGAGGTTGCTTCTGGAGACATCCATGGGCCCAGTGTTTGCCTTGCTGACCACGGGAGGCCGTTTTACCCTTTAAAACAGGACCCTGCTAACATGCGACCCCACACACCCCACAACGTGGTACCGATGTGAGCCCAAATGTTCTAAATATCACAATATGACATCCATGAGTTCAAGTCGGAGGAAATAAATAGCCCAGTACATAAAACCGTGTTGCATCTGGAAAAGAAAATAGAAATCCCTCCCCTGTCTTTTTCTAGCTTTATAACATTTTCCCAAGCTATCTGCACTACCTGCCTGGAAGCCATTGGAAAATGTTAAGAAACGTGTCTGAAATAAAAGATTACACTTTGGCAAGAGTGAAGGAGCACCAGCGGTCCCTCGACACCGGCTGCCTCCGGGACTTCACGGACTGCCTGCTCCTGGAGCTGCAGAAGGTACGTGTGGATGCTGGCCCCCGACCCTACCCAGCTAGACACGTTTGCTCGTGGGGCAGGGGGCGTGCACGTGCACATGGCGGTTGACACTGTGACACTCCTGCGGCCCCCAGGGGCATGTTCTGATGTTCCTGGTCTGACCGCACCCTGGCTTCATGTGACCATCCCACCTGTCTGTGTGGGGACGCAGACCTTGCCTGCCCGGCTGGCCTCACTGTGCACATGCTGGTCAGCAAGGTGGCTTTGCTGGGGATGCCCTCATTGGCTGCCAGGCCGGGTGTGTGGCCCCTCATGGTGGTTCCCTCCAGGCTGTACTTGCTCACCATTTCTGACTTTGATGACTGTGTCTCCTTTGGGGAGAAGCCCTCCACCCTCCTCATCAGCATGTGAGCCCCAAATTGTACATGACTTCATGGGTTTCCAGGCCCATCCAGCATCATCTTTTTGACAGCCCTCTGGGACCCCCACCCAGATGGTGAAACTTCTCCTCTGTCCTCTGACATCTCTTGTGCTTCTAGAACAGTATGTGAATACCTGGATAACTACGGGGGGCTGTCTGAGAAGCTCTTCCACGAGTGGGGCTCCTCACTGCCCCTCCTGGGTGTGTGGCGTCCTGGTAACTTCCCTGCCTCCTAGACCCAATGGTGCTGACTGTAGGTGTGGAGGAGGCCCAGGGCAGCGTGTGCGTTGGGTTGTTAGCATGGGCCCCACAGCTCAGTCCCAGGCAGCAGGAGGTCATGGCTCAGGACTAGGGAGAGTCTTACTGCACTCCTTGCTGCCCCACCCCCCATGGCCCCGCTCTGTAGGAGGAACACCAGAGCTGCACAGCCCAGGGGAGGAGCACAGTCCTGCCTGTGGCAGGTCTTCTGGGAGCCTTGGTTTCCCTAATTGCGCCATGGAGATGATCATGTCTCCACAGGATAACTTCACGCGCATCTGCCCTCTCCTCCCTGTGGAGCTGACAGCAAGGCTGTTGGGTGTGTTTGAGGCGGAGGGAGACAGAGGTCTCTTTCTCATCCACCGAGGAGCTCTTCTAATGGAGTCCCTGTGTATCTCTAATGTCTGCAGGAAAGATACAGTTCAGAGCCCTGGTTCACCCTGGACAATATTGCTGTGACTGTGGCTGACCTGTTCTTTGCGGGCACAGTGACCACCAGCACCACTCTGAGATATGGGCTCCTGGTTCTCATGAAATATCCAGAGGTCGAAGGTAAGCTGCACAGGAGACAGGGTTCTGGGGCCACACTTTGTCAGGCCAGAGTGTTTAGGGTGCAGCTTTCTGCCTGCGAAATGAAAGGCTGGCCTCGCTTGCTAAGCCTCATGGCAGTGACATGGGGGTCACCGCCTGGATTCGGTGGAAGCGCTCCTGTGTGATGGGTCTGGCACTCTTGGATGCTGTGCCCCGTGCCCCACTGACACATACCTGATTTCAGAACAGAAGACCTGCGGCAGTGCGCGGAAAAGCAATGCCTTCTGCATTCTGCTCCACAAAATAGCCTACTTATGACATTGAAAATAATGTCTACCTTGCCCTGGAATAAGACCTGGCGGGCCACACAGAGCAAGAGAGTGGGCAGGATGGGGTGAGGGTGTCCTCAGGGCTAAGAGCCTGCCCCAGCGTCCTGGCTGCCCCTGGGCTCTGCCCCGGGGAACGCTCATCACCCTGAGGCAAGCGTGCTGCTGCTGCCCGTAATAATTTGGCTCCTGCTGTGTGCCAGGCATGGGTAGGAGCCCTGAAATTCACTGTGTTCTTAAGGGCAGGTATTTGGGGATACGAGGTAATTTCCCTCAGGGATGCGGGCTGTGACCTGTGCAGGATCAGACCTGACCCCAAAGGCATTGCTTTTTCTGTCTCACAGAAGGGTTAGGGGTGAAGGAGCCCAAGTCTCTGGAGCAAAGCCTTCCACAGATCTGAGAACTTCTGACCAGTCTGGACCGGGAGGACTATAGCCTGAGAAACTGTGATTAGTTGTGAGCAATCTCCAATATAGAGGAAAAAGACAGAAAGTAAATAGGACTGACACCCACACACCATTGCCGGATCTGACACGTGTTAGCCTTTCACAGGAGCTGCTTTGGGGCTCTTGGAAACCTGTTGCTGAAGCCCTGCCCACCCCAGGCTTGTCCCAGGACTGTGTGTGTCACCTCTGCACTCAGCTTCGTACCCTTAGTGCTGGTTCAGTGTCAGCAGGAGTTTTACACTTTTACCTGGGAACCATACAGCACATGACTTTGTCATTCACTCAGCATACTGCAAAGGCCCCAGCAACTTGTCAGAGAGGGAGGCCCAGACTCTGCTCCTCCATTCTTCATGCAGAAGGCCACATGCACCTGTTTGCATTCTGCCTCTCACCTCCACAGCTCCTGAAGCGTGCAGTAAACCAGCCGGGGGTAATGATTAATACAGAGATTTCCCTCCACCTGAAATTTCTCAGACATTTTTGTTACCCTCTACTCCGGGCGTCAGGTCAGGCACTTGATTAGCTGCCATCAGCTAACAGCTGGCCCTAGTCGCACAGAGCGTGACTCTCATTGGCCTTCGTGGAGGAATTATCCAAGGGTCCCCAGCATCCAGGATACCCCAAGCACTGCTGAGGGTGCCCTGTAAGCCTCTGCTGGGCAGGTGGGTGGGTGTAAGCCGGCCTGGAGCGGGTCCTCTGCATCTGTCCTCTTCATGTCTCGGCAGAGAAACTCCACGAAGAAATCGACAGGGTGATCGGGCCAAGCCGCATCCCTGCTATCAAGGACAGGCTGGAGATGCCCTACATGGACGCCGTGGTACACGAGATTCAGAGGTTCATCGACCTCCTGCCCTCCAACCTGCCCCACGAAGCAAACCGGGACACGGTGTTCAGAGGTTACATCATCCCCAAGGTCAGGTGGGGCCTGGCGTGCACGCCCTGAGCACCACCCGCCAGCCCTTCTGCTGACCCACGGGAAGGCAGAGTCCCTTGACAGATGTGGCTGAATGGTGGGGGCCAGGCCAGAGTTCTGCCCCCCCCGGAGTGCTGCTTCCCCAGCAGTCCTCACATGGACCTGGTGACCAAGCAGTGGAGAAAATCTGGAAGGGGACCCCTGGGCCAGTGCCTGGCTTTGTGGTACTTCCACCCCAGGAACCACGGGTAGTACCATCTAGCCCATGAGCTCCTCGCATGATGAGATTAGAGCTCTCGCTTCTGTTTAGAACTGACCCCTGACTGCCTCCCATCTAGTCCTGAAGCAGACGACTTCCCCCGCCGGGAGTCCCCGTGGAGGAAAGCCCATGTTCTGGCAACTTGACTGACGCTAGCCTTTGTTCCTTCTAGGGCACGGTTGTAATTCCAACCCTAGACTCCCTCTTGTTTGACAAGCAAGAATTCCCTGATCCAGAGAAGTTTAAGCCAGAGCACTTTCTGAATGAAAATGGGAAGTTCAAATATAGTGACTATTTTAAAGCATTTTCTGCAGGTAAGAAGAGTGAAGATGTAGGTAGGGTCTTCCCTGGGAACTGTCCCTCATTCCTGCTCTCTGCCGTGGTCAAGCACTTGTACGGGGACCCAGATGTCTTCTTCCCGTCCACAGAGGCCAAATGGCATCTTCTCATCAGAGGTCCTGGGAACGAGAGGAATTTCCCCTTCTACATAGTAGATACCGTTCTTCATCCAGTGCTAAAATCCTATCCAATAGTGCTTAGTGAAAATCCCTCAAAACTTTATTACATAATTCTCCATACTTTTAAACAAGGGTCAATAAATGAAACCTCAGGGTTGGTTACTGGGACTCACCATGGGACACTCTGGCCTTCCCTAGGCTGTGTCCTGGTGTCCTCTCTTGGGCCCTTGGTCTCTCCCAGGGCCCTTCCTCAGTGGTTGGTGGGAGGGAGTCCATGTAAGCAAATCCCTGATACTCCGTGTTAGAGGCCGCCTTCCAGCTGTGGCCCCACTTCTTTCCTGCAGGATGTTAGGGGAGTACTGGGCAGAGATCCCTGTTCCAATCCCATATAGGTTTATGCTGCTGAGTCCTGGTGATGGAGACCGTATGAAGCCCTGTCCCCGAATATGTCTATCATGGATATTTTTATACTGAATGATGTCATGTGCTTCCTTCTAAGGGGCAGAGAGGGGTCCGTTCTGCTTGAGGGTGACAGTTTACCCACAACCCCCTCCGCCCAGCCCCCCTCTGCTGCCTCACCTGTGCTGCCTCAGAATCTCAGGAGCGCTATTGTCACTTCCAGGAAAGCGGGTGTGTGTTGGAGAAGGCCTGGCTCGCATGGAATTGTTCCTGTTCTTGTCCGCTATTCTGCAACACTTTAACCTGAAGTCTCTTGTTGACCCCAAGGATATTGACCTCAGTCCCATCGCAATCGGGTTTGCCAAGATCCCACCCCATTACAAACTCTGTCTCATTCCCCGCTCAGGCTGAAAACCACCCCCACCCCCGCCCCAGGGGGTGGCAAACCTGGAGTTACCCCACACCCCCACACCCCCTCAGCACCTCCAGGAAGACCCTTTCTGCAGAGTCTCAGTGAAAGCAGTTGGCTTCACAGGGAATAAATTGGGCTAGAGATGCTGCTTTCCACGGTTATGTGCATCAGATGAAATTTGGCAGCAAAGTCCAAAAAAGATTGTGTAAAGCTAATTAAACAAATTGAAACAAACTGCCACCTAGTTGAGTCTGTGCCGGGGTCCTTGGAAACAAGGGTGAGCGGTACTCTGGGAAGGTAAACACACGTCTTCCAGGAAGGCAAAGTAGCCGGCCCCCAGGGCTCACAAAAAAGAATACTGATGCTGTTCCGTAGTTTGGAAAAACGGAAAATAATAGACCTTTGAAGGCTTGTCAACCATGTCAAAAATGTATCTGCTGGGACGTCTGGGTGGCTCAGTTGGTTGGACGACTGCCTTCGGCTCAGGTCATGATCCTGGAGTCCCAGGATCGAGTCCCGCATCGGGCTCCCGGCTCCGCAGGGAGTCTGCTTCTCTCTCTGACCTTCTCCTTGCTCATGCTCTCTCTCACTGTCTCTCTCTCAAATCAATAAAAAAAAAAATGTATCTGCTAGCATCTGTCCCTGGGATATGAAGTTATTCCTTTGGGCTCGCTTCTCAGCACCACGTGCTATATTTTAAGATTAAAATATGCCTGAAAAGTCAACATAGACATCTGTTTTTTTCTCTTATCATTAAAATGTGATTTCGTACCTGGAACAAAAATTCTAGGCTCGTGGGAACCCTGGGTGGAATAAGGCAGAAGTGAGGAAATAACGATTAATCGGCTCAGTGAACTAAAACATGTCGTGAAGCAGAAGAGGAGTTTGGAACAAGAACTCTGTCCGCACCCTGTCAGCTCTCACCAAAGCCCCCTGGGTGCTTGGCCTTCATGCTCTGACTGCCCACCTGTGGGATGGGCCTGATGGAGGCCCCTCTACCCCATAGCCTATGAGGGCTGGGCGGTGTAGGCTTGCAGAGTCTTTGGAACCTGTGGGGCAACCAGAAGTCCTGCATAAATGTTCCTTAATAAAATGAATAATGTTTCGAAGCCAGTCGTGTAGCAGCTTTCAGTCTCTCTTGGGCTGACCCCCCGCCTCCCTCTTATACGGGTCCTGTGACGATCATGGGTCCACCCAGATAACACAGGATAGTCTCCCTGTCTTAGAGCTCCTACATTCAAAACCCCTTCTCCAGGTAAGGTAGCGTAACCTTGGGCTCCGGGATTGGGACGTGTGTGCCATCCTACCCACCACGAGGCACTAGCAAAACCAACACTGACAGATGGGCAAATCACAAACTGAGGACCGGCTGCTCCATTCTGAAAGCTGTCTGTCATTTTCCTGACACACCTACACGGGGGTAATACTGCTTCCAACAGAAAAAGATAAGAACGTGTCTTTTCATTTTCTCTGGGGATTTCAAGTTGAGAGAATGTCTAGGAAAATCCTAAAGTTCTCAGAAGTGATGGAAAACGTTGGGAGGGAGAGTGGGGGTGTTGGGGTGTGAGTGCTCAACGGATTCGGGCAGCAGCTGGCTATCAACAGGCTTGGGTTGGTTCCTCTTCAGCACATTCCAGAATGCCTCCATGCTATGGTCTCCCAAGCTCCAGCTCTTAACGAGCCCTGCTGTCCCCTCAAGGACAAGCATGGACCGCCCGGTAAAACTAGCTGGAAAATTAGTCTGAACTTAAGAAACCCTCCACTGATCCGAACCACTTTTGGCAGAGCAGAAAGAGAAAGGGTGGGGTGGACAAGGGAATGGAGGAATGACTTGGTCTATTCTGTTTGCTGTAACGAGGTGCCACCGATTTGGCTTTATCACTGACTGAAGGGTATGAAGGCTGGAAGTCCAAGGTCCGGATGCCAGCAGAGTGGGGTTCTGGGGAGGGCAGATGGCCTCTGGGTCGCAGATGGATGACTTCCTGCTGTTTCTCACGTGCAGAAAGGGAAGTAGGTAGCTCTCTGGCCTCTTTTCCTAAGAGCACTGGTTTCATTCATGGTCAGATCACCTCCCAAAGGCCCCTCCTCCTAAGACCATCACACTGGGATTAGGGCTTCCACATAGGAATTCTGGGGGACACAGACATTTAGTTTATAGCATTCCGTTCCTAGCTTCCCCGAATTCACATCTTCCCAGCGTAGAACACACTCCCTCCATCCCAGCGGTTTCAAAGTCTTACTGCTTGCAGTCAGCATTTAAGTCCAAAATCCTGTCTCCTCTAAATACCCACTAAATCAGATGGGGGTGAGACTGGAGGCACTGTTTCTTCTCAAGCAGAACCCCTCTCCCGCTGTTACCCATGATGCCAAAGGAGTTATGTGGTGGGGCAGGCGTCTGATAGACACTCCCATGTCAAAAGGGAGAAATGGAGTACAGAGCCTTTACCTCCTTGGAAAAGGGCATTGCCCTCAGTGATGGGCAATAAGGAGGGCACGTGGTGTGATGAGCACTGGGTATTGTACACAACTGGTGAATCACTGAACATTATATCAAAAACTAATGATATCAAAAATCAATGATGATACATTGGCTAATTGAATTTAAATTAAAAAACAAAAAAAATGGAAAAATAAAGAAATTCGTTGTAAAGGAACAAAGAAAGAGAAGGAAAATTTTAACTGAAAGATCAAAGAATCATGAGAAATAACCTCAAATTCTATGTGCCGTTTTCCCCTAGCCCTGGGGTTTTGCAGTCCCGTGCGCTTGTTGGACTCGATACCCGCCTGCTGTTCCCGCTGGTCTGCTCGGGGAGGGGCCCGCTGTGCGGATTCTCGGTGGCTTTGCCTGGGTGGAGGCGCGTGGCCCCTTCCCGGGGCCGGGTTCGGTGTAAGCAGCTCCGGGTTGCTCTGTGTGGCTTTTCTTCCCTGAAGCCTTTTCACACTTCAGAGGATGAAAATAAAAATGGCCACACCCTGACGTCCAGCCCGAGAGCTGAAAGATCGTGGGCGCCTCTCTCTTCAGCAGGCCCTCAGGGAGAAGCGGTTTTCACTCCCATCTGAAGGTGACTCCCATCCACTGTTGAAGCACAACTGCCCAGGGCTCAGGCCCTGCTCCTCGGGCGATGGGGCTTGGTGTTTGCGGCTGGAGCAGTGGGAGCCCTTTCAGGAGGGAACCCCCTCAGCATCTCTGGGACAGAGACACCGATGCGTCTGTCACTCCCTGGTGTGACTGGGACTGGGATGGGTGAGGATCTGTTCCTGTGGCCTGAGGCTGAGGGCAGAGGAGCGCGCCCTCCTCAGCTCTGATCGAAGCCAGGAGTGCCTGAGGCTTTATGAGCAGGTTGGGCGCTGCCACAGCGAGGAAACGGGGATACCGCATGGGTCGGTGGTCCGGGGCTTTACGGCTCCCTGTCACGGAGCAGAGGAAGGTCTGGGATGGGGCTCCTGCACCTCCACCAGGAAGGAGTCCTTCAGGGTCCTGTGTGAGACGGAGAAGGACACAAACCGAAAGTCACCTGCAGCGCCGTGGAAACCGATGGTAAGTGTCCAGCCCTCTGACTCCCCGGTTCGGGATGGCTTTCTAGCACAGCGACATGCTCGAGCATCAAGTGCGGTGTTGGGGAAAGAGCACAGAGCACGCTGTTTTAATAAGAAGAGGTGTGCTTCTGTTGGTTCTTCCCGCCCCGCCAAACCTCCTCCCATCCTCCAAGCTGGATGTGAGCCCCCTCCTGGGTCCCTGATGGCCTTCGTCTCCTTCTGCCGGGACTCAGGAGCCGCATCTTTGCTGCACTCCGGGTGCTTCTCCCACAGCCCTTTTGGGTTGGGGTGAGCCGGAGAGCCTCCTGCTCCCACCCGCTGGGTTTCCTTCCTGTGTCCACCACATGCCAGCCGAGGACCTCGACCCCAATTTTGGAAACCTCTCAAAGGCCGTAACTGCTTTTTCTGCCGAACACAAATGTTTATTTATGAAGCCCACTTTCGTTTGCAGAGTGCGCGTCCCTCAGGGCAAGCAGTCCCCCACCACTGCCGTCTTTAAGAGCTGCTGGTACCACGTGCCCCGCTCCCAGACACAGAAACACAGAACCCTCTTTAAGTTTCCTTGGGAGGTCCCTGTATCACACCAATGGTTTTTTTTTTGTTTTTGTTTCTGTTTTTAAGCAGGAGAAAGACTAAAAGGAGTGAGTTTGTGTTGTGGGATGAAAAACAAACCTGTCCTGGGAGACCACGGCTGGGGCAGTCGGCTGAGCATCAACTCTCCGTTTCAGCTCAGGGTCCTGATCTCTTGGGTCCGTCAGCTCCTGAGCTCAGGGTCCGCAGACCCAGCAGTGTCCAGCCCTACCACTCAGTGCTGAGTCTGCTTAAGACTCCCTCTCCCTCTTCCCCTCCCTCCATCTTTCAAATAAGTAAATAAATGCTTAAAAAAACGAAAACACTTGTTTAGGGTTGCCTGGGGGGCTCGGTCGGTGAAGTGCCTGCCTTCTGCTCCCAGGGTCCTGGGATGGGGTCCCAGATTGAGCTTCTCGCTCAGCAGGGAGCCTGCTTCTCCCCCTTGTTGCATGCTCTCTCTCTGTCAAACAAATAAATAAAATATTAAAAAAAAAACTTGTTCCAAAAAAAGATGTATTTGACTTATTTTACAGGGCAAGGGATATGATAAAATCCCATGAACTAAAATGGGGTGGAGAACTTTGAACTGAGGGCTGGACCATGTGGTGACTTCCATAGCTGTAGGTCCCCACTGAGCTGGATGCTCCTCCTGTGGCCAGAGTCCCTGACAAGTCCCACCAAAGGGCACCAGTGAAGGTCACTACAGTTTCCTCTGTGTGGTCCCTGCATGGGGAAGGAAAGAAGGAAGTACGTCACTCCCTCCTCTCTCTGACCTTTTGGCCAGTGTCCACGTAAGCAGCAGGCAGAGAGCTTCAGAGCCCAGCACTCCCAGGCGCTCGAGGGCACTGATGTCCTCCTGCTGCCGCCAACTGTGTCGTAGAGAAGTCAACCATCAAGACTTGCATCTGCCC